GCAATCGCAATATTGGGGCAAAAAATCGCAATTAGATTATTTTCCATAATCGTTCAGCCCTAACATGAAGTGTGAACTGTGGGATCTTGAAATACGATGAATTAAACTGTGTCCAGTTACTTCAGTGAATCGCTACCTTATCGTGGTGGAGGGGTTTACGTGTCCCAGGGATCCCAGGGGCTATGTTGTCTGGGGGCTTTTGCCCCCTGGTAGGGTCTCCCATAGCAAATTGGTCCTGGGTGAGGGACCAGACAAAGAGCAATTCAGAAGACCCTTATGAGAAAAACATGGAGGGAACAGTTTACCCTGCCTGGGGAGGGTGCCCGAGGGCGAGCGTCTGGTGGCTGGGCCTTAGTCCATGGGGCACAGCCCAAAAAGGGGACATGGGCCCATCCTCCCGCAGGAGCGGAGGCCCTGGCGGACTGATCCCCGGCTACCAAGACTGGTAATTGGGACATGGAATGTCCATAACGAACACCTTGTTCGAACATAAGAGTGTCCATAAGTGCACGTGGCACCAGGACGCTCTAGGTCGCAGGTCGATGATCGATTTTGTAATTGTATCACCAGACCTGCGACCAGAAGTTCTGGACACTCAGACAAAGAGAAGGGCTGAGCTGTCAACTGATCACCACCTGGTGGTGAATTGGATCAGGTGGCGGGGTAGGACACCTGACAGACCCGGTGCACCTAAACGCGTAGTGAGGGTGTGCAGGGAATGCCAATTTCCGGGGGGCGAGGTCACTGAGGCAGTTAAACAACTCCTTGGTGGCAAAGCCCCTGGTGTCGATGGGGTTTGCCCCGGGTTCCTGAAGGCTCTGGACGTTGTAGGGCTGTCCTGGTTGACACGCCTCTACAATGTTGCGTGGAGATCAGTGGAAGTATCCCTGGACTGGCAGACCGGGGTGGTGGTCCCCAGCTTTAAGAAGGGGGACCGGAGGGTGTGTTCCAACTACAGGGGGATCACACTCCTCAGCCTCCCTGGGAAAGTCTATGCCAGGGTGCTGGAAAGGAGAGTTCGTCCGCTAGTAGAACCTCAGATACAGGAGGAACAATCCGGTTTTCGTCCTGGTCGCAGAACACTGGACCAGCTCTTTATCCTCTCGAGGATACTTGAGGGTGCATGGGAGTTTGCCCAACCAGTCTACATGTGTTTTGTG